CTAAGACCAGAACCTGTCCAGCAGCAAACTCCGCTGCGTGTTAATCTGACAGCATGCCTGGACTGGGGTGACGTATAGCTCCTTTGCCGTTTTCCTGTCGTTGCTACTTGTGTAAAGTTATAAACTGAACTTCGTAGGGGGTGGAACTGAGACGGAATGAAGGTACCGATGAGGACCCCATTTCAGGTGCCTGAATTTGAACAGTGGAAATGCTACTGCGCTGGGCTCCGTGCAAAGGGGGAAGAGGTTTAAAACAAAGAAAGTCCTGGAACTCACTCAACAGAGACACCCTGAGAGTGTCATGGCACAGTGGAGGAGGTAATTGCATCTACCATCATGGAGCTTCCTGATATAGGGATAGGTACTTCCTCAATTTTAGGGAAGCCATTTATGTGAAGGGCCCACAGCCACTGAGATCGTCATAAAAAGGGCATCGGTCATTGGAAGCTGGCCTTAACGAGGTGTGACTACCCAACTTGGGCGTCATAAACGTCATCTCACTCACAACCAGAGAGGCTCGTTGCTACGATTTGGGGCTGACTTCCTTGGAAATATCCATGTGGAGGTGGTTTCAGCGTCTTCTTTAGAGGAGACGCAGCTCAAGCAACTTAACGTTACCCAGTTATCTGGCTGAATCTACCCCTTTACCCAAACAATTCTGGTTAGCCTTGGTTGTCAGACGTGCCGAGGGGATAAAGTCGTACACGCAAATATCGACCTCCTACCAGTGTAAAACTTTGGTGCAGCCAGCCGTTTATTGCAAAGATGGCCTCATTTGTCCGGTCCTCGACTGTCCTACTTTGGCCAGTGATAAGGCACTGCTCAGCCAGGTGGTTCTCTCGTCTTCCAAAAAGTCATTCCCTGTTGCCCATTCAAATACGGTGTCTGCTAAGGACAGTCTGCCAGCAAGACGTAACTGCCAAGAGAAACATACTGAAGGGAGACAAATGGGGTGCTGAGTGGTCGTATTCATCTGTTCTTGATTTACAAGCGAGCCCTGCCTGTTTAAAGCCTGCCCCTTGGTTATAGGGGCTGGGAGAAGCATGGGCACCATGCCAAACCTTTCACGTGTTTCAATCGGTCTAAAGAAGGCATGCAACTCTTGCTGCATCTCGTATACATGGATACGTGACGAGACCTCCATCGCTCACCCGCTACTGACCCGAGCGCTAAAGTCATGTTTTGTTTATTACCATCCAGGGTGGCCCCAATGCATCTGGCTACACTCTGTCATGTGACCCAGCCGCTCCCCTGGTGGCCATGCAAATGATGACCCCAAGTGGAAGAGCGTCTCACGGGCAAATCGGCTCACGGCCTCGAGGCACAGGGACGGCACGGCCATCCAAAGAAGCTATTCTCGGACAAGCCGTCCATCTCAGCCGCCACCCCCCCCCCCGAGAAACACAGACAGGCTTATGCTGTCTAACACGCCAGCATCTCAGCGCTCGCCCCCGCTGGGCCGCAGGCTTGACAGGGCGGAAGCGGTGCCAAGAATCAGCCTAGCCCGCAGATGCCGATCTCTCTGGCTCGGGAGCGAAGATGTGCTTCCTCATGGCATCGGCTAGGCCGCTAGCATTCAAGACACCAGCCCTCTGCTTTTATGCATCTCGTTCAACAACCATCAGCAGCTTTTCAACAAAAACAAGGTCTGGCAATTAACTCCAAGCAGCTGGGGCCTGTCCTTGAGCAACACAACATGTAAGGTCAGTCGCGGGAGTAGCAGGTAGACGGGCGGTGCACTCTGAAGGACCCAAGGCTGTCAGATGATCTGGAGCGCCAACTCTTCTCCCTCTTCCCTCCCAAAAGCTAAGCTCCAGAAGCTGATTGGCTGAAAGGCACGAAAGGGGACAGGTGGATTGGCAAAGTGTCCAAGGGAGGGGGCTGTTTATGATTAGCTGTTGGGGGAGGAGGGGCTCATTCTGATTGGCTGTCAGGGACCCTTAGCCATTTGTATTTAAATTCCCATTGTTTACACACACAGCAGCAGCAGGTCCAAAGCAACCTGCTGAGCTCACACTGGTAGAATGCTTCTCCCTGGAGTATGTGTACAGTTCAGCATTTTCATAGCAGGAGACCTTGAAGGATCCCACGGCATCCTGCTGCACTGGCAAATCACCCATCGCGCACACGTCATTACGCCACGGTCCCTCAAACGTCACCAGTGTTTACACGTTCCCTCAAATGTCACCTGGGAAGGGCCTCCGAAGGACACGCTTCTGTGGTGGGAAGCTAGCCTCGGGAAATATGCCATGCAGACAGACATGAAAACAACTGAATTTGATCTCAGATCCGGCAATGCTTGGTCAAAACAATGCTATAGATCACGGTAATTCGGTCAAACCACAGAAATGCACGTCTGTGGGACGTCTTCTTCATACAAGGGCTAATTGTGCTCCTTTCTCGTGTTCGACAGAAGATCCTAATCCTCTGTTAGCCCACCGTGCTCCATTTATGGGTCCTTATCCGGCCGCTCGTCTCTGTGGGAGGGTGGCAGTAAAACACAGCAATGGTGCCTCCACCCAGAATGACACACGAGTGCTGGAATGCTTGGAGGCGCTGGGAGCAGCGACTGGGATTCACTGAATAGCTCCGACGTACAAGTCCCACTAGCTTCTATCAAGCCGCCCCACCTCCACTCAACCGTCTCAGACTGCTCACCCTACCGCTGGGGGTGAGCCAAGTCAGTGGCCCGGTCGGTCCACAAAAGACTCGTAATTCTGAAATTACACCGTACTACGCCCACATTATAAACAGTCATTCCCGCTAGTGAATAACGGCAGCGGCTTCCTCACCTCCTCCGACAACACGATACCCAAAAGTTGCTGCTAATTAACCTCGGCTGCATTCAACCTCGAGTTAATTACCATTAGTTACAAGAAACCCCGAAACGTGTCGATACCTGCAATCACACGGTCTGAACACAGAGCCTAAGCGGCCCTGCACCAGTTAGACAGCAATGAGACTGGTGCATACTGGTTTTCAGTCCGGATATCAGACACTGGCCGACGAATCGCGTGGCTTTAGTATTCAGCTGCCTTGTTTCAGAGGTACGGCCCATTACATCATTATTCGCCGTTTCCTCTGAAGACACGTCTAGTACAGGGGAGGCAAAGTAGGACACAGGCGTGGATCCATCTCTGAGACCGGTTTAAGGACGTAAGAACGTCAGATGTAATGTTCAGGCACATCCCCATGCACGATGCTTACAGAGGTTGCACAATCTAAAGAAAGAAAAAAAAAAAAAACACACAAATGCTAGCTTGGATTATTTAAAGGGCCTGGGATGAAGCTTCCTATTGTGTAAGCAGTCATTTGACAAATTTGCTGCTGCACAAAGGGGAAAAAAATGAACACCGTGACATTATGGCAGTTTTGAGAAAAGACCCAATTAAAAAAAAAATTTAAAGTCATGGGTCAAAGACGAAGCAATCCGATATTACTCACTGGTAAAAATCTGGGAGTGCAAGCAGGAAAGAAGATGAAAATGCATTTATTTACGTTTTCCACGAAATAGCACTCTGTGTGCATTCTGTTTCTGTTGCCCTGTACTGGTTGGAAAACCCAGTCCCTGAAGAGCTGAGTCACACAGCCACTGAAAGTGTGGCTTAACCCCTCATCATGAAGTTAATACGGCATCCCTGGGCCAGAGAGGTCTCTCACCTATATTATTATTCTCACTTATCATCCTTGAGGTGGGGGGGAAAAAAACAGAGTGACCTCTGACCTTTCCTCTGAATGGAAGGTTTAAAAAAAAAAAAAAAGTCAACGATGTCATGGCCTCAGGACTTGGACGCACAAATAAGCTCCTTCCAATGGTCCTCGAAGACACTCATGATGGTTTATGGTTCTACCATATACCTCCCAACCCAGCACCACCCCCCCCCTCCCCCAGACGCTGGGATCAAAATTATAATGCAGACGAAATAACAGGATGACACAAGCTCTGGATGCCAGCTCTCAGTCAGCGGCTGGACGGATGACCAGCGAACTCCACCGATATCACCAAGGTGCGCGCTAACATACATGTAAGTAACACACTCACAAAACCTTCGCTTGTAGCAGAGATAATTATCACAATGCCCTTGTTTGTTGGCCGCTGCTGTTAGTTTGTTTTGGGAAGGAGAGTTCGGCGTTTGGCCATCCGTAACGCGGCAGCTGTGTAATGTACCTCCTTTATGCTTTTCTGCTGACTGTGCTCTAAGATTGCTGGTCTCTGCTCACCCGAAGCTACTCTAACTGTGTGCAAATCCATCAGGGGGACAGAACACCACCCGAAGCAATGAAAAAAAATAAAAAATCACCCTTAAAACCAAGTGTCACAACAAGCCACCTCTTAGCCAGAGGATGGGCACCAAAATTTTAGATGTTTCCAGATATGGTGAACAGATTTGCATGACAGAAGGCTTAAGCACATGCTAGGCTAACTTGCTTCATGCATACAACTAAGTCAAGTGGGGCTTTATTGCCAGGCCAGCTAGACAGAAGTACACAGTGGTACGAGACGTCGTTTCCCTGGACCACGGTGCAACGTAAGATACGTGTGTGTGTGTGTGGGGGGGGGGTATGTACACAATTACAGGGGTAAAGTGACATGATAGAACGGCGGAGACAAAGTATATACATGAACAGTGTCTTTATAATATAGCAGGAGGAATGTAGCAACACAATATAAATATGGTAAATAAACTATGTAACGTGAATAGAATGATGTAACTATCTGTGCATAATGACAATACTGAATATTAATTTTCTGTACATAATATACAGCATAAAAACATGTAACATAAATAGAAATGTGGTATGTAAACTACTACAATATTCGGTATATTATTTTATAAGGTAACACTGTGACCTCCCGCCTCCCTGTCCCTGGTCCTGCGAATGTGGAATTTGTACATGATCCCTGCATCTACACCGGCATCCCTTAGGTACCCCACCTTCCTCTCACAACTGGGCATCTCCTACTATATGCCCTATGCTCCCTGGAAGGAGCTCTAGACGACCCTGAACTAGAAAAATAATTACAGGCAACTGATAGTCGGATGGAAGGACTTATTTACAAGTAGAAATGGGAGAAAATCTTTGCACAAGCCTTCTGGAATATTTGTCAGTATTTCTGACAACAGCAACCAATTAAACGATTAAACTATGAGCATGTGACACCTATGGCATTCTGGGAAAGTAGAGTTTGCTGTCCTGGCGACGGTCAGCCCCCCTAGCTCTCAGATGTAACGCCCCCCTCTTTGCAAGAGTCATTACCCAGGGTGCATGATTCCACTGGCCACAGATATAAAAACATATGTCTGGAAGACTAGGATGTACGGCACGGACCATCGTCTCGTTTTGGTTTAACGGTAATGGACTCTGACACCGTCAGATGGGAGCTAAGGTAACGGTATCAGTGAGTATCTTGTTAAGGGTAACGCGATATTTAGTCAGTGGGTTCCTTTGCTGTGGTACAATACCATTTCCTTAACTTATTCACACTTAATCAGTCATTGGGAACACAATATAAATGTGATATATAAGTTCTGTTGCCACATTTGAATTTGTAAATGAACAAAAACTGTATGTTTTTTTTTACATGAAATATATCTGAAAATGTAAGAACACTGTGTATTAAGTGATCGGTTGTCTTGAAAGGGAAACCAAATATCAGGTTCTTCTAAGGTGAATCATCATTTATTGCCAAAGGACATATTTATGGGTGTAACAAAGCTCTTAACATTAACACACTCCACTTATAATAAAGAGAATTACAGTGCCTGTCTCATTTAATGATATTTAAAAATAAATATCTAATCATCATTTAGACGTCATTTAATACACCGAAACAAACAAACACCGATTTATTATAAAAAATAAGGCTATGCCCCCCCCCCCCCGACGGTATTTGAGGCCATGTATCTGACAGGTTTACATGATGCAAGCACTTCTCGAAAGGGTCGGCACACAGGATCTGCAGCGTGATTGGCCAAAATGCAGTCAGCAGACATCAGAAGATGACTCTGATTGGCTACCAGTTTGTGCTTAAGGATATCACAGCCGCTTCGTCTGCACGCGCTACAACTATTTCGAACGGCGGCGCTACCTTTTCGCCTGATGTGTTATTTATATTAACCGATAAATATGACGACAGTTAAATAATATACTTCTCTCAAAGTGAATAATGAAGAGTATATTTTATACCATAGAGATACTGCTATGCCAAATAACACAGTAATATTCATATAAACTGTAATAAACACGTGAAATGTAATTTGCAAATACACCCTCTGAAAATGGGTTATTGTTAATTAGACCTTTAGTGTAATATCGAAGTAAAAGTATTTCAGTCCTGGCAAAGAATTTTAAACGAATAGGTACTACTAAACCACATTTACAAGTAAGATAAATGCGTGGTTGTAATACTGCTTACGGAAAATATTGAGTACACCTTTTAAATAATTTTGTACAAGGTGTACAATTAAGTGCATTATTTATACTGCTGGAAAGCTAATATATCCTAAGCTACTGCACCCAGCCCGGTGATATTATTAATGTTAATTAACATGATTCGGTGGTGTTTTGTAACATTTCCAGCGAGCTGTGGCAAAGCTGGAGCGGTATCGGTCGTAATATATCCGCCTTCTGTAACGTTAGCGCCGCCCGGGACGATAGCAAAGGGACGGGGCGTGATTGCCTGGGCGCCGTTTATACCGGGGTGTTTTCAAGCCCCTGTGACCGATGCCGGATAGCAACTGCACTTAAACCCAACCGGGGCCATCGGTACGTTTTACGCCAGTGAATCGGGGTTTGAATGAATAGGCAGCCTTATGCTGACAGGTAAAACACCTTCGCGCTTATAAAATGCCCATGCATACGGAAGCGGACAGCTTATCGGGTGAATTCAGGGATGCTGCGAAGTGGAAGCGGAAATATTTCGTTTAACGGTTGAAGTGACCTGGCTCTCGCATCTGATGGTGAATGCATCCAGAAATGGAGCTGCATCTTGATCACGGAGGAAGGAGAGATGGAGACCGATAATAAAAACACGTGGTCTGCTTTTCTCGCCTCTTATTTTACCCTGAAAAGATGAATAAATGTGTGCTTGCTCAGTCCCAGGGCTTTCATCCCTGCAGTGGGCCTGCGATCATGTCGCTTCATTCATACTGGCTATCGTAGGGGCCGGGCCGGACCCAGGCAGGCATCTAAGAGGATGAAATCCCCCCTTGTCATTGAAGGAGGCGGATAACTGCACAGCATCGGGTTGAATACCCGGAATCTGTTCATATTTGCGATGCTTAAAATATACATGCTTTCTTCTGTACACAGAAATCACTGGATGTCACACCAAAAAAAAAAAGCCAGGCGATCTGGGAACATCAGGCTCGCACATTCATCTTAGGATGCACCGATGCAAACCACCTGCATATCCTTTAACGTGTATATTCCCCCCCCATACAAATGATCATGATACACGTAACATTTATATTTACACGAATAACGCGCCTGGTACAACGTGAGGACTTTATTACAGAATCGGTAATATAGATTAACACCAACCATATTTTATTTCGGACTTATTCATTAAAACGTACCAGTTTTCTTGCATCCATCGGATAGCTTCATCCTCGTTAAACTGCCTTTCAAATTCATATTCTTGCAAAGCGTGAACTGACATGTTCAGCCGGCGCCTTCCGGTTTACGCGGATTCAGAAGGATATGGAGATGAAACGTGCTGCGCTCCGAACGGCTCGTCTCCCTGATCGCGTTCACAGTCTCTCTGTCTCAGCTGTGCCCCCTCTCTCGCATCGCCCTCGCCGCTGCCAAACTCCCCTTTGCAGTCCCTCCTGGATCTCCGTCTATATGCCTCCTTCCACCTCAGCCGGCACACGCCCTCTCTACCAAGGTGCCGCATCCAGGTCCTAAAGCCGACATCTTACATCATCGAGTTCAACTCTATGGCAAGAGCTTGTCCTATCCCGCCATTAAAAGTATTCATTTAATGCATATCATTATTAAACTCGAGAGTCAGACGCATAATGCTTTTAAAAAACAGAACCATTATTTTCCATTTATGGATGTATTTTCTCCTTTGCACATGAAACCCCTCTAATGATTAAGGTAACTGATTCCACATCAAGAAGTTCATTAGGAAAGTAATAAATTACAATAAGGATACCAAAGTCATTGTTTACATTTTAATGTGTAGTGCATTGTAACTGCATGCTGGACATACTGTGTCAGTGTTCAAGACCCAAAAAAAGTCTTTCTATGGCTCCTTTATAAGAGATTTGCTACCTTCTAATGAAATATTATGCTATATAAATTGGTGCGAACTTGAATAAACAAATCTAATTAAATATTTTTTCTGGGTGCAGGTGCAGGATCAAAACGTGATTTACTGGCCATCCATACAACTAAACATCCATACAAGCAAAAATATTCCATCGAAAGATAGGCGTCTAGTTTTAGTCGTCAAATGTAATTTGTTGCTAGGCTCTGTAGAGGGCGCTGTGGCCTCGTGTGGGTAAGCAATTAAAGTCCGTTTGGATCCAGAGTACGAGGTGGTATGATTTCATGCGACTGACCTCAATTATCACTGTATCGTCAGACACTGCCTGGACTTCAATCTCCAATTATTTTGACTGTAATTTTGCAAGTCCATATTCAACATTTCATCACCTGATAAAAAAAAAGTTCTTCGGTTTGGCAGAAAAACATTATTTTTGTGCCAATATTTTATAATTAAGCAATCGATTGCAGTCTACAATATACTGCAGTGTGTAGTTCAAAATATCAAATGCAAGTTTATGATACACACAATATGTACGATAAAGAAAATTAAGTAATAAAGACACATAAAAATGGCTTGATCTAAGCTGAAGTAAGCAAAATCAGAATCCTTTTATTCACCACGTAGAAAAAGTACTAGGAATTTGTCCTGGTGCACGAAGTGCACAACAAACATAAAATCAAGACAAAAGTATAAAACCAATAAATCGAATAAAAATAAAAAATATATAAAAATATTAATAAATATGTGCAAATATTGAATAAACAAGTAGACATGTAAATATGTGCAGATAAGCTTATAATTTAAATTAGAACAGTGTTTCCCCAGGGACCTCCAGACGGTCCACGTTTTTGCTCTCTCCGAGTCCCCTTCCGCCAGTCTACATTTCTAGAAAAACACAGACTGCCTGGGGGTTCCTGAGGAGCGAGTTGGGAAACTGTGGGTTATAAGTTCCAGTGTACTTCTCTTGGCTGCTTATGTAGGAGGGCAATGGCCTGAGGAAAGAAGCTGTTTAGGTGGTAATTGGTCCTTGTACTCAAACTTTTACTCTCAGCTCCTGCTGCCAAGATGCTGCAAGATGAAGTAACTAGGGTGAAAGGGGTCAGACATTATTTTCTTAGCCCTGCTCCTCATCCTTGATTAGTATGGGACTTCAAGCAGGGGGAGATGACAGCCAATGACCTGCTGCGTACATTGCAGGATTTGCTGTAGTCTCCGCTTAGAGTGAGATAATGCACAGCCATGCCGCAGAGAGAATACCAGGTGGCAGGGGCGGAGCTAAGCCACAAAGGAATAGGGGGTGTGGAAAAGGGGCATGGAAAATTTGTGCTCTTACAAAGGGACATCAACTTTTAAGTCACATTCATGTTAATTAATTTATTAGTTAGTTAGTGGCATGTCTTGCCAGTAAGGTCTGCCTGAACCTCCCATTTCCTCCCCAGTGTGACCTTAACCATCCAGGCCTGGTGTCCATTAGTCTTACCGCTCGTTCCTGCCCTCCTGTTAATCCCAGCTGCCTCCTGTTTGCTCTCTCGTTAGCCTTGTATTTAAGTGCCTCCCAGTCCTGCATATTCCATTTCTGTCAGTGATGTTGTAACCCTGTGTGGGCTAGAACCTCCCTCGCTCATCGTACCTGGTTTGGATCCCTTCTGATCCTGTTGATTCTTCAGTTTTTGTCGGTTCTGTCCCAATACACCCCTTCTTGTTTTGAATCTCGCCTGCTCTGGCTCCACACGTTCCCTCTGATATGATGGAATGACAGATGTCCCAAACAGTGCCAGCAGCCTGCACCCTCCTTCTGGCTTGTCCGCATCCATGCATCCAGCGGATCAGATGCTCCCGGTGCCTCCGATTCAGTTGCCGAGGGGGTTGCCAGTCCTGCAGGACTTTTTCCCTCTTTGACCTTTGACCTGCGGTTGGGGAGATCTGAGGCCCTGGCTCTTCATGAGGACGGATCTGATGTTCAAACTCACCCATGCCGCAGATTCCCAAGGGACTATAAAGATTTGCTGGTTGCGGTGAGGGGGGAACTGTCTAGCGTGAGGGCGCTTGGATAGATACTGATCTCCCTGCCGGTTTCCNCCCATGGTAGTGTGCACTACAGGAGGAAGTGCACAGTGCGCACTACGCACTACATCTCAGTGCACTGAGGCAAGTGCGCGATTTCGGACACACCCCATGTATCTGACAGGTTTACATGATGCAAGCACTTCTCGAAAGGGTCGGCACAGAGGATCTGCAGCGTGATTGGCCAAAATGCAGTCAGCAGACATCAGAAGATGACTCTGATTGGCTACCAGTTTGTGCTTAAGGATATCACAGCCGCTTCGCCTGCACGCGCTACAACTATTTCGAACGGCGGCGCTACCTTTTCGCCTGATGTGTTATTTATATTAACCGATAAATATGACGACAGTTAAATAATATACTTCTCTCAAAGTGAATAATGAAGAGTATATTTTATACCATAGAGATACTGCTATGCCAAATAACACAGTAATATTCATATAAACTGTAATAAACACGTGAAATGTAATTTGCAAATACACCCTCTGAAAATGGGTTATTGTTAATTAGACCTTTAGTGTAATATCGAAGTAAAAGTATTTCAGTCCTGGCAAAGAATTTTAAACGAATAGGTACTACTAAACCACATTTACAAGTAAGATAAATGCGTGGTTGTAATACTGCTTACGGAAAATATTGAGTACACCTTTTAAATAATTTTGTACAAGGTGTACAATTAAGTGCATTATTTATACTGCTGGAAAGCTAATATATCCTAAGCTACTGCACCCAGCCCGGTGATATTATTAATGTTAATTAACATGATTCGGTGGTGTTTTGTAACATTTCCAGCGAGCTGTGGCAAAGCTGGAGCGGTATCGGTCGTAATATATCCGCCTTCTGTAACGTTAGCGCCGCCCGGGACGATAGCAAAGGGACGGGGCGTGATTGCCTGGGCGCCGTTTATACCGGGGTGTTTTCAAGCCCCTGTGACCGATGCCGGATAGCAACTGCACTTAAACCCAACCGGGGCCATCGGTACGTTTTACGCCAGTGAATCGGGGTTTGAATGAATAGGCAGCCTTATGCTGACAGGTAAAACACCTTCGCGCTTATAAAATGCCCATGCATACGGAAGCGGACAGCTTATCGGGTGAATTCAGGGATGCTGCGAAGTGGAAGCGGAAATATTTCGTTTAACGGTTGAAGTGACCTGGCTCTCGCATCTGATGGTGAATGCATCCAGAAATGGAGCTGCATCTTGATCACGGAGGAAGGAGAGATGGAGACCGATAATAAAAACACGTGGTCTGCTTTTCTCGCCTCTTATTTTACCCTGAAAAGATGAATAAATGTGTGCTTGCTCAGTCCCAGGGCTTTCATCCCTGCAGTGGGCCTGCGATCATGTCGCTTCATTCATACTGGCTATCGTAGGGGCCGGGCCGGACCCAGGCAGGCATCTAAGAGGATGAAATTCCCCCTTGTCATTGAAGGAGGCGGATAACTGCACAGCATCGGGTTGAATACCCGGAATCTGTTCATATTTGCGATGCTTAAAATATACATGCTTTCTTCTGTACACAGAAATCACTGGATGTCACACCAAAAAAAAAAAGCCAGGCGATCTGGGAACATCAGGCTCGCACATTCATCTTAGGATGCACCGATGCAAACCACCTGCATATCCTTTAACGTGTATATTCCCCCCCCATACAAATGATCATGATACACGTAACATTTATATTTACACGAATAACGCGCCTGGTACAACGTGAGGACTTTATTACAGAATCGGTAATATAGATTAACACCAACCATATTTTATTTCGGACTTATTCATTAAAACGTACCAGTTTTCTTGCATCCATCGGATAGCTTCATCCTCGTTAAACTGCCTTTCAAATTCATATTCTTGCAAAGCGTGAACTGACATGTTCAGCCGGCGCCTTCCGGTTTACGCGGATTCAGAAGGATATGGAGATGAAACGTGCTGCGCTCCGAACGGCTCGTCTCCCTGATCGCGTTCACAGTCTCTCTGTCTCAGCTGTGCCCCCTCTCTCGCATCGCCCTCGCCGCTGCCAAACTCCCCTTTGCAGTCCCTCCTGGATCTCCGTCTATATGCCTCCTTCCACCTCAGCCGGCACACGCCCTCTCTACCAAGGTGCCGCATCCAGGTCCTAAAGCCGACATCTTACATCATCGAGTTCAACTCTGTGGCAAGAGCTTGTCCTATCCCGCCATTAAAAGTATTCATTTAATGCATATCATTATTAAACTCGAGAGTCAGACGCATAATGCTTTTAAAAAACAGAACCATTATTTTCCATTTATGGATGTATTTTCTCCTTTGCACATGAAACCCCTCTAATGATTAAGGTAACTGATTCCACATCAAGAAGTTAATTAGGAAAGTAATAAATTACAATAAGGATACCAAAGTCATTGTTTACATTTTAATGTGTAGTGCATTGTAACTGCATGCTGGACATACTGTGTCAGTGTTCAAGACCCAAAAAAAGTCTTTCTATGGCTCCTTTATAAGAGATTTGCTACCTTCTAATGAAATATTATGCTATATAAATT